GTTTGTGGACTTTTTAATGATGGCCATTCTGACCAGTGTGAAGTGATATCTCAATCTTTTTGATTTGCATTTCTTTGATAATTAGCCATATTGAGCATTTGTTCATGTGCCTGTTGGCCATTTGAATGTCTTCACTGGAGAATTTTTGTTTAGGTCTTCTGTCCATTTTTGATTGGGCTGTTTGATTTTTTGTTATTAAATTGTATGAGCTTTTTATATATTCTGGAAATTAAGCCTTTGCCAATCACATAATTTGCAAATATTTTGTCCCATTCTGTAGGTTGTCATTTTGTTTTGCTTATGCTTTCTTTTACTGTGCAAAAGCTTATAAGTTAATTAGGTCCCATTTGTTTATTTTTGCTTTTATTTTTATTGCCTGGGTAGGCTACGCTAGGAGAACATTGCTAAGATTATGTCAGAGGATGTTTTGCCTATGTTTTCTTCTAAGAGGTTTATAGTGTCTTGTCTTATATGTAAGTCTTTAAGCCATTTTGAGTTTATTTTTGTTTATGGTGTGAGGGAGTGTTCTAACTTCGTTGATTTACATGCAGCTGTCCAGTTTTCCCAGCACTACTCGCTGAAGAGATTGTCCTTATTCCATTGTTTATCCTTGCCTCCTTTGTCAAAGATTAATTGACTGTGAGTCTGTGGGTTTATCTTGGGTCTCCAGTAGAGCTTTTTGTATGAATTGGCAAACTGATTCTGAAATTTATATGGAAAGACAAAAGAACTACAATAGCTAAAACAATTTTGAAAAAACTGCAGGATACACTCTACTTGATGTCAAGACATAGTATAAAGCATACTCTACAACATATAAGCAAGACAGTTTGGTATCAGTGAAAGGATAGCCATGTAGAGCAGTGGAATAGAATAGTGAGTCCAGGATTAGACCCTTGAAAATATGTCCAGTTGGTTTTCATCACAGATATACAAACAACTCAGTGGGAAAACAGTTTTTTCAACAAATGATACAGGCACAACTGGATACCCATATGCTAAAAAAAGAACCTCAGCCTGTGTTAGTTCCATATGCAAACACTTATTCAAAATGGAGCACAGGCATACATGTAGAGCCTACAACTACAACACTTTAATGAGAAAACATAGAAAATATTTGAACCAGCCAAATGTTCCTTTAATACAATCCATAAAGCATGATGCTTTAAAGAAAAAAATTAATAAATTGGACATTCTAAACTCAAAACTTCAGTACTTCAAAAGACATTTGGGGGGGAAAAGCAAGAGACTAGGAGAAAATGTTGCAAAGTACTTATCTAATAGCTGGCTTATGTTTATGATCTACAAAGAACTTTCAAAACACAATAGCAAGAAAATAAGCCAATTTTCTTTAAATAAGCAAAAATTTTAGTTGACATATTTTACCAA